GGCGTGAGGGCAAAGCCCGAGGTGGCGGGGGCGCTGGTGGAGGCAGCAGTGGTGACACAGAGCCGGGCAGCCGGTGACCCCCCGGAGATGGTGGAGGCAGGTGTGGAGTGCTGCCCACCAACCAGCTGCGTGGGGGTGGGCTGCCGCCCTGACGGGAGGGACGTGGCCGTCGGCCCTGATTCGGCCACCAGGTGTGAAGACAAGGGCAGCCAGACCGAGGTGGGCAGTGCTGTCCCAGCAGGCCAGGAGACAGAACCCGGCACGGACGATGCCCCAAGGAGCTGCTCAGTGCAGGGCACGAGAGCCATGGTAGGAACATGCCAGGGCAGCCCAGTCCCTGGGGCAGCCACGCCGGGCACCACGAACAGCAGCCAGGACCTGTCCCCAGCACAGGATGGCAGAGCTGCCCCGAGCCCCGTGGCCGGTGAGTCAGTGTCAGGGATGCCACCAGGGTCTGGAGTGGGATGGTCCTGTGTAAAGAGAGTGGCCCTGTTGGGGACAGCACCTGTCAGGCCAACGCTGCATCACAGCAGCTGCCTGCATTCTGCCCATGTCCTTCCATGCCTGCCTTGGGGTCTGGTGGGTTTGGGATGACCACGTAGGACCCCCCGGGGAGGTTCCTGCTCACTTGACCCTGACACTGTAGGGCTGGAGAACCTCACCTATGAGGACAGGCTAAGAGAGGTTGTTCAGCCTGGAGAAGAGAAGGCTCCAGGGAGACCTTAGAGCAGCTTCCAGTGCCTGAAAGGGCTCTGGGAAAGCTGGGGAGGGACTTGGGACAAGGGCAGGGAGGGATGGGAAGAGGGGGGATACTTTTAAGCTGAAAGAGGGGAGTTTTAGGTGAGATATGAGGAAGAAATTCTTTGCTGTGAGGGTGGTGGGACCCTGGCCCAGGTTGCCCAGGGAAGCTGTGGCTGCCCCATCCCTGGCAGTGTTGAAGGGCAGGTTGGATGGGGCTTGGAGCAACCTGGGCTGCTGGGAGGTGTCCCTGCCCGTGCAGGGGGTAGAACTGGATGAGCGTTACGGTCCTTCCAAACCCAAAGCAGTCTGGGATTCTGTGACACTCAGGAGTCCTCTCTGCCCCCAGGAGCCCTGAAGTCCATCATGAAGAAGCGGGATGGCGTCCCCCGGAGTGAGGTTGAGGGCAGCAAGAAGAGCTTGCAGTTCGTGGGCGTGTTGAACGGGGAGTACGTGCCCAGGGTTCCTGCCACTGCCCTGGAATCCCTGTCCTGGGCTGGGGGGAGTGGCAGTGGGGGGCCTGGAGGGGATCATATGCGTACCATGTTGCCACTGAGCGTCCTCCCTCCATGCAGGTACGAGAGCACATCCAGTGAGGAGGAGGAGGAAGGAGACAGCTCCTCTGAGAAGGCTTCACCTGACAGCTCTGACAGCGAAGAGCAGGGGGACAGTGACACCTCGGATGAGGAGGCTGGGGAAGGCAAGAATGAGCCAGGACATGAGCCCGAGGGGGCTGTTGTTACCCCACTGGAGCCCCCTGAGGTGAAGGAGAAGTAAGTTCTGGTGGGGGTTGCTCCCTCACCCCGTTGTCTCTGAGAACCACAGGCCAGAACCAGCCCTGCCAGCCCGAGGTATCTGCCCCAGCTTTGGTGCAGCCGATGGCAAAAACAGATTCAGCTCCTGCAGAAACCATCCAGCAGGAAAAATTCCTTCCAGCTTCTTGGGTCTGCTAAGGCAAGAATGAGGGTGAGGCCCCAGATGCCTCTTTGCTGGAGTTTGGAGGGGAAAAAAAACCAAACCAATCAACAGTCCTTAGTTGCACTTTTCCAACAAAAGGATAAAACTTGGCCTAAAAATGGGTGAATTGTGCCCGAGCACGTCTGTATA